GTTCCTGGGCTTCCTTGGCCTTGACTGGTCAACAATGACTTGCCGTGTGTGTGTGTGTGTGTGTGTGTGTGTGTGTGTGTGTGTGTGTGTCTTAACTCAACCCCCCCACCCCCAGCTGAAATCCTGGCAGTATATGAGTCCGCCTTGACTGGCCAACAATGACTTGCCGTGTCTGTGTGTGTGTGTGTGTGTGTGTGTCTTAACTCAACCCCCCCACCTCCAGCTGAAATCCCGGCAGTATATGAGTCCATTCCAGATGCCTCCAAGACAGCCCTGTCTGGGTGTCCCCCACACCTAGCATTTCCGTGGGGGACTGCTTGTCCTCCCGGGACCTTGTGCCTCTTCTCAGGCAGACTTCTCCTGATAGGGCTGTGTCATTCGCTTGGGGGGGTTAGGTGGGCAGGGGGTCTTCCTGATTGCCTCCCTCCCCCCACTCCCAAATCCACTTCAAAGCCCCTTCCAACTTGCCTCCCAGGGGTCTCAAGAATCACACACTGCCCACTTGGCCTCTCCAGCTTCCTCTCCTGCTGCCTCCCTCTTGCCATTCTTTGCTTTGGCCACAGCAGCTCACTTAAAAATGTGAAGCCCAGCCGGGGTCGGTGGCTCAGCCTGTATTCCCACGCTTTGGGAGGCTGAGATGAGTGGATTGCCTGAGCCTGCGGGTTCGAGACCCGCCTGGGCAACTTGGTGAGAACTCATCTCTACAGTAAATCAAAAAATCAGCCAGGCATGGTAGCGCGCGCCTGTAGTTCTGGCTACTTGGAAAGCTGAGGCGGAAGGATCGCCGGAGCCCAGCAGGTCGAGGCTGCGGTGGCCGGGAGCGGCCACTGCACTCCAGTCTGAGTGACAGAGTGAGACTCCAACTTAAAAAAAAAAAAAGAAAAAAATGTGAAGCCCCTTCCTGCATGAGGGTCTGCGTTTCGCTCTCCCTGCCCAGGAGGCTGTCGTGCCCAGGGTGCCTCCTCATTCTTCAAGTCTTCACTTACTGCTTCCATTTAATTTCCCTGACTGCCCAGACCAGATTAGATCACCTGGATATAGGCTGTGCATGTTTCATGGCAGCCAGACTTGCTTTTTGTATGACTCACCGCAGAGGTTATTGACAGTTTCATGGGGAGGGCAGGGACCACAGCTGCCTCGTGCATGCCTTCTCCCAGGGCCCAGCCCAGTCTTAATAAGTGAACAGATGACCAAAGGCCAAAGGCAGAAGGGAAAGGAGCCAGCCTGTGACCAAGGCCAGGGCTTAGCCTGTGTTCAGGGTCATGGAATAGAATTTTCTCTCAAGCCCAGGGCCTTCTCTGTCTCTTGGCTTTCCCTGCATGGAGTCTCCTTCCAGGTTTCTTTCCCACCCTCTGATGGGGTTTTCGGAGGGTAGACTTCGTGCCTTGAAGCAAAGGATGGGGGCAGCTGCACCAGTTAGCAGGCGGAAGGTCTGCTCTGGGAGGCGGAGGGCTGCCTCCACTGGGTTCATTGCACCCTGAGCCCTGCCCTGTCCTGTCCCAGGGAGCCTGCAGTCCAGCTGGGTGTAGGGAGGGGCTGGGTCGGGGGCAGTCCTGATCTTCATCCTTCTCTGGCTTTTCTTTCCTTCCAGTTCAGGACGAAGAGGCGTGGATAGGCCGCTGGGCCGGCTGGTGCCACCATGGCAGGTAAGGAGAAGAGTGGGCCATGTGGGCAGGGCATGGTGCCCACGTGGGGTGGGTGGGCCTCTTCCTCGTTCCCTGGCTCCCAGTGTCTTTGGAAGTCAGGTTCTTTCTGCCCTTGTGTCCTTGGGTTTCTCCTGCTACCCCCGCTGAAGACTGTCTGTCTGAGAATCTCAACGTGTGATACTGTCTAGCCCTCTGTCAGATCTCTGACCCTGGGACAAGGGGTTAGGCATCTTTTTTTTTTGAGTCAGAGTCTCACTCTGTCACCCATGCTGGAGTGCAGTGGCACACTTATGGCTCATCACAGCCTCAACCTGCTGTGCTCAAGCGATCCTTCTGCTTCAGCCTTCCAAGTAACTGGAACGACAGGTGTGCGCTACCACACCTGGCTAATTTTTTGACTTATTGTAGAGATGAGGCTCTTGCCAAGTTACCCAGCTGGTCTCGAGCACCTGGGCTCAGGCAGTCCACTTGCCTGTCTCCCAAAGTGCTGGGATTACAGGTGTGAGCCACCGTGCTGGTTATTGTTGTTGTTTTTTTAGTGATTTTTTTTTTTTGAGTCAGGGTCTCACTGTGTCACCAAGGCTGGAGTGCAGTGGTATGATCAAGGCTCACTGCAGCCTTGATCTCCCAGGCTCAGGTAATCCTTCCACTTTCGCCTCCTGAGTAGCTGGGACTACAGGCGTGCACCACCACACCTGGCTTTTTTTATTTTTTTATTTTTTCAGAGACTAGATCTCACTGTGTTGCTAAGGTTGATCTTGAACTCCTGGGCTCAAACAGTCCTCCCTCAGCTTCCCAAAGTGCTAGGATTACAGGCGTGAGCCACATTCCCGACCCTGTCTTATTAATCAATTAGCAGCATGGGTGGCCTTCTGTCACCATTGCTTGCTAATACTCTGAGGCCTCTTCTTTTTTTTTTGCTGCTGTGTCTCTTTTATTTAATTAATTTATTTATTTTAAAGATGTGGGATACAATTCAGGATTAGGCATACAAGTGGTCATCGTACAGATAAAGTTTGGGCCTCCCTTTGGTTCCCACTTTGCCTGGTTTGATCTGAGACCTCTTCTCCGGATTTTCTAAAGGCTCAAACATACAGAATGCCAGAGTTGGAGGGAACTTAGGGACCATCTAGCCCAGCCCCCATCCCACTGGATAAACAGAGGTCCAGAGAGGGGTGACAACTTGCCCAAGGGCGTGGACGTGAAGTGGAACCTAGAACCCACATCCCTAGAGTCTTAGCTGTCCCACTTCTTCTGCCTGGAGCTGCTGCCCACTAAGAAGGGTGCCTTACCCTGGTGGACAGCATTCATTGGTTTCTGTTCTTCTGCGTGGCACTGTTACAGGGACTTTGGTTACTCTGGGATCATCATGGTTGACTTGGGGAAGTAGAGGTGCTGTGTGGGGAAAGCAAAGTGGCTAGGGGGCAGCCCAGCCTGGGAAGGATGGGCATATTGGGTCATCAGGGAGGGGAACATTCGTGGTGATGCCATTTGATACGCTCTCCCTCAGAGAAAGTGAACAACTTCCCGCCATTGCCCAAGTTCATCCCGCTGAAGCCATGTTTCTACCAGGACTTTGAGGCAGACATCCCTCCCCAGCATCTCAGCATGACCAAGCGTCTCTACTACCTCTGGATGTGTGAGTGCTGCAGGGTGGGGTAGGCTGGGTGGGTGGAGGAGGAAGTTGGGGGGTGCTGGGCAGTGGGGTGGGGTGCCCACAGGCTTAACTGGTAGTATCTGCACGGACCAGTAAGTCTTTCCCCACCAGGCTCCTGGAAGGCTCTTTCCCTGGGCCAACTCCCCCACTGGGCCTCAGTTTCCTTCCACACTCCCCCGCCATGTAGGCCTCTCCTCCCCTTCCCCTCCATTTCCCACTCATGGAGCATCACCATGAGTGGGATGGTGGTGGTCCCTTTTGGCAGTGTAATCCTCTGTTTTTGCCTCCCCTTCCCACCGGAGTGGTTTTTGGGGAACCCCTGTCCTCCATCTGGACCTCAGGATCCTGGACTTGGAGAGGGATCCTTCCCTCAGACCCCCGTTTTTCTTGCTTTCTCTGGGAAGGTGCTCAAAGTGAGGAGCACTCAATGGGGAGTCAGGAGCCGTGGGATCAGGCTCGCCTGGTTGCCCCCCATCCCAAGCAGTAGGCTTCTCTTGATAGGAAGCAATTCTCGGCCCAGTGACTGCTGGGGTTCTGTGTGTATCTGGGTTGCATGGTCTGTACTGCTTAGAGTCTAGGGCTTTAATATCTAAGGTTTTGAGGCTAAGAGGTTCAAGTTCCCTGTTTCTGGTGGTCTGTGGCAGGTTGGTGGGAAAAGTGTCATCCTGGGTTCATGGGACTTGGCTGTCCGAGGCTGGCCACTGGTACCTCTTAGGCAAGTGAGGGGAGGCCGGGCCGATTGTCCTGGGCTGAGTACGAGCCCCAGGAGCCCGAGACATCCACAGTGTGCACAGGTGGGGTCTGCCATGTGTGATGTTGCCTGGGGTCAAGGCTGCACCTAGCTGCTTACCTGGGCAGATAGGTTGTGTGTGTAGGAAGGTTCTGTCTTTGCAGTAGGGCAGGAGAGGATGGGACAGACAGACTCAGTTTTAAGTCCTGGTCTTTGGGTGGAGACGGACTCTCTCATCACCTAACATGAGAGAAGAGGGAATGGGACAGGGCTGGGTGGGTCTGTAGGCCAGAGGGAAGGACACTGCAAAGAAACCTGGCCTCTAAGATTTTGGGCCGTGCACAGGATCCATTTGAGGTTAGCAGCCATTAATGTATAGTTCTGCCAGCCTTCCTAGTGGTGTCCATTTTTTCCTAGTGACATTCAACTCGGGTACTGATTTGAGTTATGTTTTTGTCCAGCTTGAGTGTGACCAGAAGACAAGGTTAGGGGAGAGAGTAAAAAAATGAGTGTAGCTGAGTGTGCTGGCTCATGCCTGTAATCCTAGTACTTTGGGAGGCTGAGGAAAGGGGATTGCTTGAGTCCAGGAGTTTGAGACCAGTCTAAGCAACATAGCAAGACCCTGTCTCTACCAAAAAAAAAAAAATCACACCTGGAGTGGTGGTTCACGCCTGTAATCCCAACACTTTAGGAGGTAGAGGCGAGAGGACTGCCTAAGCCCATGGGTTCGAGACCAGGCTAGGCAACTTGGCAAGACCTTGTCTCTACAATAAATAAAAAAATTAGCCAGGCATGCTGGCATGCACCTGTAGTTCCACCTACTTGGAAGACTGAGGTGGAAGGATCATCTGAGCCCAGCAGGTCAAGGCTGTGGTAGCTGTGAGCATGCCACTGCACTCCAGCCTGAGAGTGACAGAATGAGACTCTGACTCAAAAAAAAAAAAAAAATCAGTCAGGTGTGGTGGTGCATGCCTGTAGTCTTAGCTACTCAGGAGGCTGAGGTGGAAGGATTACCTGAGCCCAGGAGGTTGAGGCGAGCCATGATTGTTCTACTGTACTCCAGCCTGGGCAACGCAGTGAGATCCTGACTAAAAAAAAAAAGAAGCTGATGGCAAGAGAGAGAGTGGCTGAATCAATAGGCATCCATTTCAGGGAGGTGACAGGATCATTAGAGCAGAGGTGCTGGAGCCAGGGAGCTGGAGAGAGGTGCGGCTGGGGAGAGGGTTGCTAACCAATATAATCATGGGTTGGTGTCTTTCCTATGTAAAGAGCAAATAAAAACAGCAAAAACACCAAGATTCCACGAAATTTGGGGGCACTAAACAGGGATGGAGGAAATATAGCTGAAATGTGTAGGAAGAAGTACCCATCCTTCTTAAGAGGGACCTGGAAATGGGTGTACCTGTGCAGGTGACAGGGTTTTCAGGCCAGCCAGACTTGGGAGCTCAGCTTGACCCTGGACTCTGGGAACTCCACTCCTGGGAAGATCTCAACCAGAAGCTGGATTTAAGGGCTATAAATATCTCCCTAAGTCCTCACTGGGCGCCTGCCAGGTGCTTTACTCACAAGGAAGTTCATTTAACCCTTGAGATGCTTAAGGGTTGTCTTCAGGAGACAGGGCCACAGGTGCTGGCCGTTTGGGGGCAGGATTGAGCCCTCCTTCCTTTATTTATTCAGCAGGTCTTTATGGATTCAGCCTCATGTCCAAGGATGGGGTGCCCTGATGTCAGAAGACCTGGGCGTGTGTTAGTACCTGCATCTGTTTTCTTTTCTGTGAAATGAGGAGTTTTTTGTGATCCCTGCTGGCTGTGAGTCAGTGATACTTTGATTCCTAGTTCAATTAGATGATGTGGGGACAGAGGAAGGTGAGCCTGGGTCCCGTTCTTAGAGAGCTTCTAGTCTGTTTGGTAGGTTGCGATTTGTATCTGGGGACCCAGGAGAGCAGCCCAAGTCTGTGGAAAGTCAGAGAGATGGGAGATGATGAGGCTACTGTAGTGAAGGAGGGCTTCTTGGAGGAGGTGGCATGATGGAACTATATATATATGTGTATATATATATATATATTTTTTTTTTTAGTTGGAGTCTCACTCTGTCACCCAGGCTGGAGAGCAGTGGCATGCTCACGGCCACCACAGCCTCGACCTGCTGGGCTCAGGCGATCCTTCCACCTCTGCCTTCCAAGTAGGAACCACAGGTGCATGCCACCATGCCCAGCTAATTTTTTGATTTTTTTGTAGAGACGAGGTCTTGCTAAGTTGCCCAGGCCGGTCTTGAATCCCTGGACTCAGGCAATCCTTTCGCCTTTGCCTCCTGAAATGCTGGGATTATAGGCGTGAGCCACCATGCCTGGCTGGAAATAGATTTTTAGATAAAGACTGAGATCCCGGCCACCGATGCCTGCCCTATTTAAGCGCAGGGCAGATGGTTGAATGGCTTAACGAGATGTTCCCACAAGGTCTTTTACGTTTTCCTCTTTATGCCCCTGCCTTGAAAGAGAAAGCACAGGATGGATTTTCTGTGTCCTGGACTTGGTGACTGCTGTGGGTCCAAGGGGGCCAGGGGCTGAGACTGCTTCTGTAAGGAGAAGAGCGCTTCTACCACCTGGGGCTAGGGCCCTCAAACAAGGCTTGCTGGGTTTGTGCTCTGGAAACTCTGCTGCCCGGATTCCTCAGATCCTGGGAGTGGGTGTGGGAACAGGGTTGGTCTGAACTTCCAGCCTTCTTTCTTACAGTCTGTACTTCCTCTGTGTGTGTGTGTCTTGTGTGTCTCTGCATGTATTCATCGATCTGGCCATGGGTCTTCTGTGTGGGTGTGAATCTGTAAATGTGGTTTGCGTTTGCGTGTGTGTATCTGTGCGTGCCTGCCGCTCTCTCTGCTTGTCTACGCTGTGGGCATGGGTTTGATTGTGGGTCTGTGTTGCTTTGTGGGTGTGTGTTCATGTCTGGGTGCTCATGTGTCTCTGTGTGGGCCTGGGTGTCTGTCTCTGTGTGCCTGTGCTCCTGGGCCTGCAGTGAACAGCGTCACGCTGGCCGTGAACCTGGTGGGCTGTCTCGCGTGGCTGATCGGAGGCGGGGGAGCCACCAACTTTGGCCTCGCCTTTCTCTGGCTCATCCTCTTCACGCCCTGCTCCTACGTCTGCTGGTTTCGGCCCATTTACAAGGCCTTCAAGTAAGTGGTTGGCACCGACCCCAGCTCCTGTCCCTGTCCCTTTGCTCACCTCCCTGTCCCTTTTTATTTCGCCTTCCCCTGAACTCAGTTCCTGAGTTCACTTTGGCCCAGACTGCCAGGTGGGGCTTTGGCTTCCTGGGAGCTCTGGATTGAGGAGAGAGGGCTGGGAGTTAGAACCTTCCTCTGAGTTCCTTCCCTCCTTACTCTGCCCTTTGGTGGGGAAACATAGACCAGGTCTTTTTTTTTTTTTTGTAGAGATAAGGTTTTACTCTGTTTCCCAGTCTGGAGTACAGTTGCACAGTCATAGCTAACTGCAGCCTCAGCCTCCTGGGCTCAGGGATCCTCCTGTCTCAGCCTCCTAAGTTAGTTGGAACTATAGGCATGTGCCACCATGCTTGGATAATTTTAAAATTTTTTGTAGAGATGAGGTCTTGCTATGTTGCCCAAGCTGGTCTCAAACTTCTGGGCTTAAGCAAACCTCCTGTCTTAGTCTCCTACAGTGCTAGGATTACAGGCATGAGCCACCACACCTGGTCTTTTTGTCTTCTGCCATTACCTCTCCCTGGCAGTGGTGTGTTAAATTTTGCCTTTGGGCTGCCTGTCTTGGTGGGGCTAGCTGATTTGGTGCCAAGAAGACCATCTATCCATGTGCCAGTGGAAACAGCCATCCACGTACCACTGATGCTGTGCATGTGCCAATGAGGTAATCCAATTCTGTGCCAAAGGGGACACCCATCCACATGTCAGTGGGGCTAGCTTGGTGCCAGTGTCCGTCCACCGTCCACCTGGTGCCAAATGGGGTTTTCAGTCTTTGTGCCAGTGGTACTACTCACCCATGTACAACAAAGCTATCGGTCTTGGTGCCAGTACAGTGTCCATCTCAATGCCAATGGGGCCTTGAATCTCCTGCCAACTGGGCCATCGTCTGAGTGCCAATTAGCTATTCTTTTGGTGCCAATAGGGTGTCCCTTCTAGTGCCAATGGGACTCTCTGTCTCTGAGCCTATGGGATCATCCACCCACATACCAGTGGAGCTAGCTGTCTTGTGCCAGTGGGATTGTCCATGCCCTTGACAATGGGACTGTTTACTCCTGTCACAATGAAGCCATCTACTTCTAGCCAATGGGGCCATCCTTCCATGTACCAGTGGGTGGTCCATTCATGGGGTGATCCCTCCCTGTGGAGTGTTGCACACACAGGCCTACCACATGGAAGCTTGCAAAGATCTTTGGGGAGACTCTGTCCCTTCTGGCCTCTCTAGGCCTTCAGGTGTCTTCTGTCCATTGTGCACTTACTTAAACTCGGAGGGGTTTGGGGGCCTTGACAGCAGGAAGCCCTGGCCCTCTGCCCAGGTGACCTGGGCCATCTCTGCCACAGGACTGACAGCTCCTTCAGCTTCATGGCATTCTTCTTCACCTTCATGGCCCAGATGGTCATCAGCATCATCCAGGCTGTGGGCATCCCAGGCTGGGGCGTGTGGTAAGAGCCGGGGTTGGGTAAGGGCAGGAGGGGTGACTCTGTGGGTGTGTCCTTTGCTTACCTCTGTGTCCTGAACTACCTAGCGTGGGGACACAGTGATTCAGGGTAGTGCAGTAGCACAGCTATCGTGTGAGAGGAGAAGGGGAACCTGGCGATGGGTTCTTGGGGGCTGAGGGGTGTCAAGCATTGTGGGAAAGCCAGGGGAGGAAGCATGTGTCTGAGTCACGGGGAAGGGGTCTTCCTGAGTCACTTACATAGGCCCTTTGGGCATCAGCACAATAGTCTCTGCATCCAGTGATACGGTCTCTCCTGTGATAGTGAGATATTCCCTTGCTCTGGGGTGAAGGGCGGCAGCTCCTGGACACCTCCTTATCCTGCCCACAACCCCACTGCTGGCCTCTCTCCACAGCGGCTGGATAGCTACCATTTCCTTCTTCGGGAATAACGTAGGCTCTGCAGTGGTGATGCTCATTCCCACCGTCATGTTCACGGTGATGGCCGTCTTTTCCTTCATCGCCCTCAGCATGGTACGTGGTTCCCTGGAGCGGGAGAGGGAGGCTCTGGGTTGCAAGAAAATCCAGAAGTCTTCCAAGGGACTCAATCTGGAATGGCCGGACTTTCCTGCATGGTCACAGGTGGGGAGGGAGGATTGTTTTTACAGGTGGGTCCCTCTATGTCCTGGGTGGACTGCCTTTTTCCTTTGTTTTTATTTACTTTTATTTTAAGAGATGGGGTCTCGCTGTGTTGCCCAGGCTGATCTTGAACTCCTGGACTCCAGCGATCCTCCCTCCTTGGCCTCCCTAAGTGCTGGGAGTATAGGCATGAGCCACTGTGCCCCACTTCTGCCTTTTTTTCTTCCCTTTGATTAACCCTTCTTGGTGCCCTTCTTCCTACAGGTTCATAAGTTTTACCGGGGCAGCGGGGGGAGTTTCAGCAAAGCTCAGGAGGAGTGGACCACGGGAGCATGGAAGAATCCGCATGTGCAGCAGGCAGCTCAGAATGCGGCCATGGGGGCGGCCCAGGGCGCCATGAACCCGCCGCAGACTCAGTATTCCGCCACCCCCAACTACACGTACTCCAATGAGATGTGAGCCAGCCAAGCCTACCAGGAGGCGGGGCTGGGAGCCATTGGGACAGGGGGCTCAAGCCACATTGTCTGTTGTGGTGACCAAGCAGGGTTCCCCCTTCCCTTTTCTCCTTCTTCCCAACTTTGTACAAAGAATCAGAGTTATATATATATATATATATATGTATGTATGTATAGGTACATGTCTGTCCCCTACCCCTCACCTTCTGGGTTCTCTTGGTACTCTGAGGGCTGTGGGCTGCACGTGGCGCTGGCCCAAGTGGTAGTAACTGTGTCCGTGTCCCCTTGTGAACTAGTGTGCAGTAGAGGTCTCTTGTTGTGGTGCTAGATGTATGTTGAGAACTAAACCAGCCCCCCCCCCCCAAGTCCTCCACCTGCCCCTTCTGACCCTGGGACCTCTTCTGGGGTCAGGGAGACATAGCAGAAAGCCTGATCCCTCCCAAAGTTTATGAGCTGCAGCCATTTCCACTTTTGTCTTCCTGGGAAGCAGCAGCCCTCATGGTGGTGGTGGGTCGGTGGGGGGTGGGTAGGGCAGACAGTGGGGCTTCCCTTGCTCTTCTGATCCACCTCAGCCTCCCCTCCCTCCCTTTTCTCTCATCTGTTTCCTGCTGTCAGATTCCCTCTGTGACATTCCCTTGCCTGGAGTCTGTCCTTCTCTTTCCCCTGTGGCTTTTCTTTGTCTTCCTCAAGGCTGAGAGTCCCAGCTGTATCTGCTTCTGAGACTGAGCCCAGATTCCCAGCGCTGATCTGATTCCTGGGCTTACTGAGTTTCAGCCCTGATGGGGGTGAGACACACAACGGGACGCAGAGCCCACGCAGGGACCTGGCTCCCAGGGCATGGAAATGAGGGGTCAGTCTCTGTGGGTCTGAGAGCTTGGCCTGCAGAGGAGAGCTCCTCTCCTCTCTCCCTGCCTTCTCCTTCTCTCCCCAGACCCTCCACCCCTCTGCCTATGTCCCTCTGCCTCCTCTCCACCCCCTCCCCAGCTGCTATGGCTTAATTCTCCTACCCTGACCCCACTTATGCCAGGTGGCATATGCCCTCATGGATGGCAGATTCCACTGGCTTTCCTGAGGGGCTGGGTCATGCCAGGCAGTTGTCAGGTATAAAAGATGCAGCAGGAGCAGAGGGGATGTCAGTAGTCATCGGTCCTCCGGGGAGGTCTGGCTGGCCCTGGCCCGCTGGGACATCTAGCTGTCTCTGAGTGATCCTTGGATTCCTGGCAGCAGCAAGGGTCTGGTAGAAGGGACAGGGCTTGGAGGTCTAGGCCATGAGGGAAGGTTGGAGAAGATGGCAGGCAGGGCCCAGGGAGAAGGGAGATACCTCCCCATCCTGACTTGCCTTGGTCACTGGGCAGTTCTGGGCACTTGAACTCATAGGGCCCAAGAAGAAGCACAGGCCCAGTCCTAGCTGCAAGCACAATGGTTGAATGGGATTTCAGGCTAGGTGAAGAGACTGGAGGGGAGGCTCTCTGGCTTTAGTTTCTTTTTCGTGTTTGTTTCCAGATCAAGGTAATGTACTCCCTCTGCCTGCAGGCCTTGGTTCTTGGCCTTTCCTCACCCTGTCAGGATTCCCTTCTCCTTTCAGGAGAACAATTTCAGGCCCATGGGCTGTTCCATTCCAGGCAGCGGGAGAACACTGCCAGCAGAGGCCCCACTCTAAGGCCTAGAGGGAGGTGGGTTCCCACCCAAGGAGTGACCACCCACTTCCCCTTCCCTCGCCCTCCACCATCTCCTAATGGAAGCCTGCTTGGGCTATTGGAACAAACAAAAAACAAAACAAAAAAAACAAGCCCCACTTGGGTACTCTGAACTGACTCCAATTGGAACCCAGTACCTAGGCTTCCAGGCTACTCTGAGCTTTGAGCTCCAAGTACTTCCATTGCCCTTTAAGGGGAACCAAGGGCCTCTGGAAATTCTCTTCCTAATAGTATCTTAGGCTTGGGCCACAAAGTGTAATTGGCTGTCTCCTCTTCTGTTTTCTTCCTGGAGAGCAGTTGTCGCAACCCCTAAAAAGAGACTCTAGGTCTAGGCCCTTGGCCCCCTTGTTCTCTCTGATCCCAGAGCTCTGGCTCGCTGGCTCCCTTTCCCTTAATCACTCTGATAGTTCCAGGAGGCCTGTGGTCCAGCCCCCAGCCTGGCATCCATGACCTGTTGGGTATTACCTCCAACCGGTTTCTTGTCCTTCCTGCCTTTCCTCTTTGGCTCACACCTATATAGCTGCGTCCTGGCTCTGCCTTTGGGAAGGTCTGTGACCTGGGTGTGGCCCAGCTTGTCTGGGCCCAGGGATGCTGCATCTCCCGGCAACTATGCACTTTCCTGGAGAGAGGACCAGGACGAGAAGCCAAGGCTGGGCACAGATTCCTCTCTGCCGAATGGTCTGGCTTGCGGGTGAGGTGGAGGAGGGCCCAGGCCAGTTCTGGGGATCCTCGGGTCTGCGGCCAGCCAGTGACCTGCTTTGGCATTCCCCTGGTGCCCACTGTTCCTTCTTGTTTCTTGGAGACGAACCATTCCCCAGCTGGCAGTTGACCTGCCAGAGCCAATGTGTCTGTGGTATCCGAGTGAACCATAATAAAGGGGTACATTTGGCCCTGTGTGTTCTGCCGTGTCATGTGTCTTCATGTGGGCCTGCATGGCTCACCGTGAGCTGTGGGGCAGTAGCATGAAGTGAGGGTTGGGAGCCCTGTGTGGGTCTGTGGCCTGTCATTCCTTGGGGCAGGGAGTGTGCAACTCTGCCGTGGCCTTGAGTAGGGGTTGCGATGGCCACAGAGGCTTCCTGCCTTGGGAAACGAGTAGGCTGGGTCCAGAGGTGAGCGTGGTTTGGTCCAGAAGGTTCACTGGACAGGCATGGGTGGAGTACAGAGGCCCCACTTCAGCTCTGGGGGGAGCTAGACCCACAGCCTCCATGAACACAAGGAGTCCTGGGAGCCTGTGAATGCCAGAAAACGACGAAAGCAGGAACATGTAGCCCACACGCTTTTCCCTTCACGTTCCCTCTGCCTGTACTGTGCCCTCCGCTTGGGATGCTGTCTCAGTCGTCTGTCTAAACTGGCCACCCTGCAAGAGTCACCTCAAGTGACTCCTTTCGAGAGAGCTTTCCTGACTGGCATTGTTGCTTAGTGCTCTCTGTTTCCTCCTGGAGGACCCTGTCCTAGAATTTTTTGTGCCCGTTTGTCTCAACAGCAGGGAGGCATTTTGGTTATCTCTGTATCCTGTGCACCTAAAACATAAAAGACTTGACAGATATTCAGTATTGAGTACCCCGGGCGATAAAACGTTTGTGGGGAAGAGGTGGGACAGTTTGGCCAGGCCCTATGGGAATCCCACTAATACAAAGGACGGAGACAGAATTATTCCCATGATGCCCCTGATGGACTACAACTCCCAGAAGGCGGAGGCGCGGACTACGATTCCCAGAACGCGGAAGCGTGGACTACGACTCCCAGAAGTCTGCGCGATCGCACTGCCTGCCCGGAACTCTGGTGAAGCCGCGTGCCCGTCAGATTGAACGGGCGGGGCGGCCAAGATACCGCGATATTTGGAGGCTGCCCCGAGACGCGCCTGTCGCGGGTGAGCAGTTGGGGCGGTTGGGAGGCTGGGTCCTCGCGGTGGGGTGGGGGAAGGAGGGAACCTATGCCTGACTCGTGTGTGTGTGTGGGGGGGGGGGGGGTTGCGGTGCCGTTTTGTCTAGTTTAAGTGGTGGCGAGTCAGCCTCCCCACCCTTGACGCTTACCCTAAAAATCAAAAGAAAACAAAACAAAAACACCTCCTTCCAAAAAAAGCTTAGGAATGCCCAGAGTACACACTATTTTAAAAGTTGGTAAAACAGGAAAAGGATCCAAGCACTGGAGACCGAGGCAGGAGGATAGCTTGAGGCCAAGAGTTGGAGACAAGCCTGGGCAACACAGGGATTTTTAATTTTTAAAATTTAAAAAATTTTTTTTTATTTTTGAGTCAGAGTCTCACTCTGTTGCTCACGACCACTGCAGCCTCGACCTGCTGGGCTTAGGCAATCCTTCCACCTCAGCCTTCCAAGTAGCTGGAGCCACAAGGCTCGTGCCACTACCCCGGCTAATTTTTTGATTTATTGTAGCGACAAGGTTTCCCAGGCTGGTCTCAAACCCCCGGACTCAGTCCTTTTGCCTCTGCCTCCCAAAGTGCTGGGATTACAGGCATGAACCACTGTACCCAGCTACTAAGAAAAAATTTAAAAATTAGCCAGGCATGTTGGCAGTGCCTGTAGTCACAGGTACTCGGGAGGCTGAGGCAGGAAGATCACTTAGACCTGGAAGGTCAAGGCTGCAGTGAGCTATGCTTGCAGCACTACACTTCAGCCTGGGCAATAAAGCAAGACCCTGTCTCCAAAAATCAATCAATCAATAAATAGAGAAATGGAGGGAGGAGAAAGCCATGGGATATTAGAGTTATTCCTAGGCCTGCCTAAAAGGGCTGAATAGCATTTAAAAATTAGAGTGAAGCCAAATTTTGACAGAAAAGAATGGCCATTTGCAGTATTTGGAAGCAGGTGCTAGATGATGGGCAGGAGAGGTTCCCAAGTTGGTGAATGTCTTGGAGCAGGGATTTTCCACACCTCTCCCAGGGTCTGGGAGGTAGCAGGACTCAGGCACAACCTCTCTAGTGACTGTGTGTGTGTATGTGTTGTATACAGTCATCCCTCGGTATTCCCAGGGTATTGGTTCCAGGATGCCTGCGGATATAAAAATCCACACTTAAGTCCCTGGTATAAAATGGCATGGTATTTGCATATAACCTAGGCACATTCTTTAAGTCATCCCTAGATTACATACAATATCTAATATAGGCTGGGTGCAGTAGCTTACGCCTGTAATCCCAGCACTTGGGAGACCAAGGTGGGAGGATTGCTTAAGCCTAGGATTTTGAGATCAGTCTAGGCAACATAACGAGACCTCATCTCTACCAAAAAAATAATTAAAAAAAAATAGCCAGACGTGGTAGCACGCATCTGTAGTCCCAGCTACTCAGGAGACTGAGGCAGAAGGATCACCTGAGTCCAGGAGGTGGAGGCTGTGGTGAGCCATAATGTTGCTACTGCACTGCAGCCTGGCAACACAGTGAGACCCTGACTAAAAGCAAAAACAAAAAACAAACCCACCAAAAAGCAAAAATCCTGATACAATTTAAGTGTCATGTAAATAGTTACCCCGTATTGCTTTTTATTTGCATTAGATTTATTGTTTTTATTTTTATTTTATTTTATTTTTTGAGTCAGAGTCTCACTCTGACAACCAGGCTGAAGTGCAGTAGTAACATCATGGTGATCCTTCTGTCTCAGTCTTCCAAGTAGCTGGAACGACAGGTGTGTGCCAAAGTGTCCAGCTAAATTTTTTGATTTATTGTCAAGATGGGGTCTTGCCATGCTGCCCAGGCTGGTCTCTAACCCATGGGCTCAGGTGATCCTCTCGCCTCCGCCTCCCAAAGTGCTGGAATTACAGGCATGAGCCATCGCGCCTGGCTGTTGTATTATTCTTTTTTTTCTTTTTTTTGAGTCGGAGTCTCACTCTGTTGCCTAGGCTGGAGTGTGGTGGCACGCTCACAGCCACTGCACCCTCAACCTGCTGTGCTGATCCTTCTGCCTTAGCCTTCCAAGTAGCTGGAATTACAGGCACGTGCCACCGTGCCTGGCTAATTTTTTGATTTATTGTAGAGATGAGGTCTTGCCAATTTGCCCAGACGGTCTCGAACCCATGTGCTCAGACATTTCTCTCACCTCGGCCTCCCAAATAGCTGGGATTATAGGCATAAGCCACCACACCCAGCCCTACCCCAGGTTTAACTGATTACTTTCTGCTACCTGTTCCCTAGGAATGAGGCCAGCTTGACGTGGAGGAGTTTCAGGGGCTGCAGAGATGAAATGTAGCTTCTAGTTTTGCAGGAAGCTCCCTGTCCTGGCCCTAGGTGACTGAGATGGGACAGGGTGGGGTTTGCTACCTGGCAGATGAGTTTCCATGGAGATCCAATAACGTGCCTCTATCACCTACTGATTATTTTTTTTTTTTTTTTGAGTCAGAGTGTCACTCTATTGCTCAGGCTGGAGTGCAGTGTACAATCACAGCCACTGCAACCTTGACTAGCCGGGCTCAGGCGATCTTTCCGCCTCAATCTTGCAAGTAGCAGGAAATACAGATGTGTGCCACCATGCCTGGCTGATTTTTTTTTTTTTTTTGACTTATTGTAGAGACAAGGTCTCGCCAAGTTGCCCAGGTTGACCTGAAATCCCTGGGCTTAGGCGGTTCTCTTGCCTCCACCTCCCAAAGTACTGGGATTACAAGCTTGAGCCACCACACTTGGCTTTACCTATTGATTTATTTTTATTGTTTCTGGTGCACCCCATCGTGCTCAGCTAAATTTTTGGTAGAGGCAATGTCTAGCTTTGTCGCTCAGACTGGTTTTGAACTCCTGGGCTCAAGCAATCCTCCCACCTTGCCCTCCCAAAGTGCTGGGATTATAGACCTGAGCCACCACGCTCAACCTTATCACCTCCTGATATTCTGGGAAGGAGCTGGCTGCCAGCAGCTTGGACCTTGACAGTTGCAGATAGGGCCCCCTAGTCTTTGGGGGTAGACACCATTCTCCAGCTCTGGCCAAGCATGGCTCTGGCTGGGGCCCTGATGTGAACCACAGACTGAGATTGCTTCCAAATGCAGCTTTGGGGATCTTGCTCTAGGGAATCGGCCTGACTGAACCCCTGCTGAGAAGGGCCTGAGTCTCTGGGAGACCCAGGCAGAAGTGAGAGAGGTGGGCCAGACATAGTCCTCACCCCAGAGGACTATGAGGTGGGTGTATGCCTGAGTGTTGAAGGCAAAGGCTGGACAGAGAGCCCAGAGGACATGTCTGTGGGTGCCCAGCCATGGAGACAGCCAATGGGTGACTCAGCAGCAGTTCCTTTTGGAGGTCTGTCTAGGTTTCCCCTCCCCCTGCTGATTCTGTCTGTTTTTTTGTTTTGTTTTGTAGAGATGGGATCTCTCTGTGTTGCCCAGGCTGGTCTCAAACTCCTGGGCTCAAATGATCCTCCTTCCTCAGCTTTTTCCAAAGTACTAGCATTGCAGGCATGAGTCACCACACCCAGCCCAATTCTGTCCTTTTTGAGTGCATCCTCTAGAATTTTCTGTCTTGCACAGAGAGCCCCTTACCACTGTCTTTCACGCATTGACTCAGAAGGTTTCTGCTGGAAGGAGCTTCGGAGATCACCTGACTCTATCTCTACATTTCTCAAATGAAGAGACAGGTCTTGGGAAGGAATGACCCTGGGCCAAAGTTACATACCAGGTCAGGAGCACAATCACAGGCAGGGCACAGGGCTCCTGACTCCAAGGCAGGCTTCTGTCCTCTGGCCTACATGCCTCAAAGGGTCCATTTATTTTACTTTTAGAGACAGGGGCTCTGTCACCCAGGATGGAGTGTGGTGGTGTGATCATAGCTCACTGTGACCTCAAACTCCTGAGCTCAAGCTGTCCTCCCACCTCAGCCTCCTGAGTAGCTGGGACTAAAGGCGCATGCCACCATGCTTGGGTAGTTTTTAAATTTTTTTGTAGAGACAAGGTCTCACTATGTTGCCCAGGTTTGTCTTGAATCCCTGGCCTCAAGCAATCCTCCTACCCTCAAGCAATCCTCCTGCCTCAGCCTCCTGAAATGTTGGGATCATGGTTGTGGGCTACCACGCCTGGCCAGAGGGCACAATTTATTATTCATTCAGCAGATGTTCAGGACCACCTGGTAGTGGATTTGTGGTTGGTGATTAGATCTGGTCACACATTCAGGGAGCTTACTGGTGAGCAGAAGCAAGGAAACTGATGTATAAATTGAGTCTGATCCTGAGAGAAGGACCGATCTCAAATAATTTCTTTTATTTTTTATTTTTTGAGTTGGGGTCACACTCAATCACCCAGGCTGGAGTGCAGTGGCACACTCACGGCCACCGCAGCCTCAACCTGCTGGGCTCAGGCGATCCTTTCGCCTCAGCCTTCCAAAGAACTGGAACTACAGGTGTGTGTCACCAGGACCAGCTACTTTTTGATTTATTGTAGAGATGAGGGCTCGCCAGGTTGCCCAGGCTGGTCTTGAACCCGTGGGCTCAGGCAGTCCTCTCACCTTGGCCTGCCAAAGCGCAGGGATTATAGGCATGAGCCTCCACGCCCGGCCCTCAAATGATTTCTAGTGTGCCTTCTGTCTTCTAAGACTTATCTGTGGGTTCCACGAAGGCTGTGGCCATGTCTTCCGCAGTTCTTTGCTCACTGCTCAGTGCACTTGGCCCTCAGTCATTGCTGCTGCTAGAGTGATGTGTTAAGGCCAGCCCTTCAGAGGGTTGGTGTTCATGTGCCGTATTTCATGAGCATTCTCTTCTAGCAAAGTCTGAGGGCCAGAGGGAGAAGCCAGCCAGCTGGTCTTGTGGGGTGGCCACATCCCACAAGAGTCTCTTTCTGGACTTTGATTGTAGGGTGGCACCCAGCCTGGCTTACAGGAACCGGGACAGTGTGACAAATCTCTCAGCTCCCCAGAGCACCCACATTCTTGTTCCCTGAGTTCCGCCTCCCAAGCATCTTGGGAACCCACCCCCTCCTGCCACTTCCTCCGGCCAGTCCATCCTGGCCCCTGCAGTGGTTCCTCTTGTCCCCGACCTCTCTGCCAGCAGGGCCCCTCCTCACGGGGCAGCACCGGCACAATCTTCCTTTCTTTTCTTTTTTTTCTGACATAGGTTCTCACTCTGTTGCCCAGGCTGGAGGCAGTAGTACAATCCCTGCTCACTGCAGCCTTGACGTCCTGGGCCCAGGTGATCCTCCCACCCTAGCCTCCTGAGTAGTTGGGACCATAGGCACACACCACCATGCTGACTGATTTTTGTGTTTTTTGTAGAGACAAGGTCTCGCTATGTTGTCCAGGCTGGTCTCAAATTCCTGGGCTCAAGCAATCCTCCTGCCTCGGTCTCCCAAAGTGCTGGGATTATGGGGTGAGCTACTATGCTCAGTCAAGCCGCCCTGCCTTTCTAAAATCCAAACTCTTCACTCTGGCCTTTGCCACCCGTGACAATCTGGCCTCAACCTGATTTCCAGCCCTTTACCCATCCCACAGCCCACTCAGCCTCACTGCCAAGCCTCTCTCTGTTTACCACACCTGCCACCCTCCTGCAGGACCTATAATTCCAGCACTTTGGGAGGCCAAGTTGGGAGGATTGCTTGAGGCCAAGAGTTCTAGACCAAGTTGGGCAACATAGTAAAAACCTACTTCTACAAAAATTAAAAAAAAAAAAGTAGCCAGATGTGGTGGTGCATACCTGTAGTCCCAGCTACTGGGGAGGCTGAGGCAGGAGGATTGTCTGAGCCCGGGACATCAAAGCTGTAGTGAGCCATGATCATGCCACTGCACTCCAGCCTGGGTGACAGAGTGAACACTGATACAAAAAAGTGATTCTTCCCTCTCTCCAGAGAGTGGACTTGCCTTCCAGGACTCAACCTACCTGTCATCTTTTCTGTGACAGCCTCTGACTTCCTGAGATGGTCACTTTGGGCAGCTGCAGCCTCTGGCACAGCCCTTCCCCACACTTGCCATGTCACCTCATAGCTGGCCTGAGTATTGGGTGAAGGGCGTCTGCCTTTCTTATCCCACCATGTGCTCCCAGAAGCTGGGGCCACTGGTCTCCTGGGCAGGCTCAGCCTTTGGCCTGGGGCCTAGCGCATGATGCTTGGTACCTTTTGGTTGAGTGTATGAGTGAAGGGGCTACCCCTTGTCCTTTTCTTAGATCTGAAACCCTGACAGCTTATGGAGCCCAGGCTTGGCAGGATCCCAGAACTTGAGGCCACCAGACCCCACATGGAAGTGCAGGCCTCATGCCCAGCTGCTGCACCTTTGGTGGAGAGAAAATTCCATGTTCTCGTGGGTGTCACGGGGAGTGTTGCAGCCCTGAAGTTGCCTCTTCTGGTGTCAATGCTTCTGGACATTCCTGAGGTGAGTATCCTCACTGGACAAGCAGGACAGCCTCTGGCATTAGAGAGCCCCTGCGTCTTAATTTCCCAGTCCATTTATCTGCAGTACTTGGGAATTTCTTTTTTTTTTTTTTT